CGTGTGTATCGACGAGGAATCTTGTGCGGGTTCCAGGACGTTGCAGCTCGCCTCGATGGATGATCTGTCGACCCAAGTGTTCGAGATTGAGTTCAACTTCCTTCTTCATGTCGGGTCGCAATTGCAACTTGGATGCCAGTTCCATCAAGTCGGCCTTCTTGTTCATCTCTCCCACTTTGTTGTCACATTCCAGCGCCACGACCTTGATCTCTTCAATGGCCTGTGCCAGATTTGTCTTCTCTTCGGTATCCTTGACCATATTCTTGTGGACAGTCGCCAACAGAAGAGTATACCGCTGGATTCTGGTAATCGGAGCTTTGAGATAAGTATCCCAGCTAAGGCGATTGGACAGTTTGTGTTCCCGCGCTTGGTTCAGGAACTGTTTGAAGTGCGGGTTGCGCTCAGCCTCCTTGCGCACAAGATAGTTTGCAGTTGGGAAGGTTGCAGCATAGTCGATGTAAACATTCTTAGCTTTGCGAATCCATTCCCGGAAGATGTCACTGAATCCAGAGATGAAAGGCCCTTGTTCTTTTTGACGGTATTTAAGCTGTGCCAATAGGAAATCCTCGTTGACTCTCTTCACGGCATCGACCTTGCCAAACACGTCGGCCAAGAATTTGGGCAACCGCTTCACCGGGATTATGGAAGGATTCATCTTAGCTAATTGATCGCGATACAGTTCTCGTAGGACATCCAGTTGCGAGATGTAGGAGTCTTCTGTAGTGACAATCTCGTGCAAATTGTTCTGTCGATCGATCTCTTTCCTAGGATGAGCTTCCCAGACCTCCTTGGGTACCTTGTAGAAAGTAACCCAGTCCTCGATCTTCTTCTGCGGTGCCATCATCTGTGCCTTGAGGTTGACCTTCTTCAGTGTCCGCATACAGTGATGCGAGTAGCACCGAGCGGAACTATCAGTATCTTCAATGTGCATCTCATGTAAGTGGAGCCTGGGAGAGTAACATCCAGTGCCAGTGATCTGGAACAAGATACCCGAAAGAGTGCCTGAGCCAAACTTGACCCATTCTTCTTCTTTGACCAATGCACCCCCTTCAAGCATACCGCTCACAACTCGAGCAGCCAGTGTCTCGGCATCAGCAATATTCATGGTGGGGACTTTGTGAGTGAACAACGCGACCATGGCATCGGCAATTGTTTGCTCTCTGAGATCTGTCTCATCCTCACTCAGATCTTTAATCCAGGACAAAAGAGAACTCAAAGCCCACGGCTCGCTACACTTCTTGAATTGTTCCGATGACAGCTTCGCGGGATGGAACTTCTTGCGCCGGCCAGCCGGGATGCTTGGCAGATCTAGCGTCATAGCGGCTACTGCAGCCGCCGTTGGGTCTATATGAGGCAGGTCCTTTTGCTGAAGCTGCAAGAGAAGTTCTTGCTGCTGCTGCCTGTATCTGAGCCGGTCCGCATCGGTCTTCGATCTGATGGGTGCATCAGTACGAGGCCCAATAGGAGTCGACAAAGATGACGACCGCGGGACTTGAGACGGGCTCAACAGAGCATCACCATAAGAATCCGCAGAAGTTGGCAAGGAGGGGTGGTGATACTGTGAATAACTATCCAAGTCATCCAGCTGCTCCGAGTGGCGGTTATAGGTGCCCGCAGGCATCAAATGTGACACAAGATCAACATTACCCGCAGGCTCAACGGGTGCAGGTGGTAATGGGCGCATTCCAGGGTGGAAGAACAGATCTTCGTGTGCGGATCGGTGGGGACTCTCGTCGTCGGATTGATCTCCAGAATGGGTATGATCATATGGTGTCTCTCCTTCATCGCCATAGTCAAAGCTCATCCGTCGGGAATAGGCATCGGGTGCCGATAATCCTCCTGTACCACTGGCATCTACCCTGGCATCGGCTGGCGTATGATGGAGGCGTCTGGCGTAATCATATGCGATAGGCGGGTGCTCGTATTCATTATAATACTCACCACGGTCATCGCGGGACACATCGCTTCTGAATGAACCGGATGTGCCTGGAAATCTGTTGCCCGCAGCAGGGTCCGAGTGGTCTTCCGAATTGTAAAATGTCTCATCGCCATATGGCATGTTTGCTTGGTAGCCACCTCCGTAGTGTGCTAGGTCATGAATGGAATCGTTGTCTCCATTGGGGTCAGAGTGTGGCGAATACCCTCTTGGTGATATGTTGGATCCACGTGAGCTGACAATTGAGGCATTGGTCTCACGTCGCATCCGCCCTTTCTCTCGCTCCTCACGCGCTATGTCTTCTTGCATCATAATCAAACCAGCAGTAGCTTCGGGATCGCTTTCGTCAATGTATGCATCATAATTCACAGTCTGCCCCGTGCCTGTCTCCATGTTGCCATTAGTGTGGGTGTGTTCCTCATCAGGCGAGAAGTGCATGCGTGAAGCAGAGCTAGCATGGGATGCTCTAGAACTGTGACGCCGAGCAAAGTTCTGAGAGTCCAAGGCTGCAGCCTCATCCTGTCTGAGCACATCTTCATATGCCATGGGAGCTTCCGCCGGCCATCGATTACCATTTGCCCCAGCTTCATCGACCGGGGGCCCAGGAAGAGGTCGGGATTGGGGGTGTCGATTCAAGGTGTCAGTTCGCCTCGGTTGTTGTTGGGACAAGTCTGACTGCACAGGGGGCGTCGGTAGGGTTCGCCCTGCCCCGGAATGAGATACACTTGGCTGCCTGCCATACAGGCCATTTGCATGAGTCTGATGAACTGGAGGCGCCGGTGGCTGCTCTTCGAAGTAACCGCTTGGGATCGCCGGAGTGTACTGGGGAGATGGCAGATCATACGCAGGCCCTTGTGAGTTGCTATAATAAGGACGCGGTGCAGGCGGAGGCATATGCATTGTGCCCGGGGAGCTTGACGGCACATAAGAAGGCGAGGGGTTCGGTGACATGGGTTGGTACGAACGTCCTCCATACGGATGATCAGCGGCTCTCGGTGGCGGAAGCGGTGGTTGTTGGGAGAATCCGTAAGATTGGGGAGTCGGCGGTGTCTGCCCGTAGTGTGAAGTGGTGCTCGGCCTTCTAGGTAAAACCGGAGAACTCAGTCCCGAAACTGCGGTAGACTGGTATGCCGCGGGATTATATGGTTGGTGGCCCGAGGCTGGAGCGGTGTAAGTATTGCTGGCGCCAGTGTACGTATGGGGGGTATATGCGAGGACTGGTTGCGACTGCGTATGTGGAAGGACGTATTGCTGTGGGTTATAGGCCGGCTGGGACGAGGGTGCTCCAGAGTATTGGTATTGATACGACATGGTGGAGGTTTGCGAAGAAGCGCGAGTCGGCGACATGCGCGACATGGCATCCGAGGAAGTTCGCGAATATCTGGAGTCTCTGTCGTCTTCAAACCCTCCCTGCGCAGCGTTGTAGCTACCCTGTCCCGCGCTGCTACCATAGCCACTACCCTGTGTTGAATACTGTCTGTTTTCTTCGGTCGCTCTCATATTCTGGGCCTGGGCAGGGTTGAAGAATCCAGAATCATCCCCAGCATTGTAACTTGGCATCCTTCGAGGCAGGTGTTGGTCTGGCGCGGGATTTTGGGACGAATAAGCGTCATAGTGGGTGGTGGACGATTGGACAGGGGCTTGTGGGTTTGTAGGCTGGCCATAGTATGCCTGTTGGCCGTTTGGATATTGCGACATGGCTTCGGAGGGGTGAGGTTTGGACCAGATGTTGACTCGGCTCGGCTTGACTCGACGCGCCCAGGATTGCGCGAGAGATTGTTTAACAGGACCGAGGGGTCTAGTATCGGGCGCTCAAGTGAATGGCAAAACGAGTGACTAGTTCAGAGCAAATCAAACTGATTTGAATGAGGGGAACGACCACGCGGGCCGGTAACACGCTGCCGAAGAGCTGGCTCTGGGCATCCCCAATGAAACCTTAGAGCGCGATATACTAGGCTTGGTAATAGGGAAACCAAGTCTAGCAGATATGCAAAACCGGGAGATGTTTTGAGGGGGAAATATGTGGGAGGTGAGTTGGGATTCCATCAGCTGCGCCCACGCTAGTCGAGGTACCGTCTCCACCGCCAACGGGGTTCACCACCTGCCTGCACTATGCCTATTGTACTCGGTACAAGGAGAATGATATGGATATGAATATGAATATGGTGGACATCCACGTTGTCTGTAAGTATTTCCATTATTTTGAATCTATGGTATGTGGATTTTTTCTTATGTACGATATGTAATATATATATATATATAAATATACAATATACGAGATCTCTTTACGACCTTCAGCTTATTACTCCGTAATTGGCGTTTATTCCCCGGGATTAGGGGTCCAGGTCATCACAGGTCATACATAGAAAACTCGCTTGCACAAAGTATGCTTTTTTACTGCCTTCACATACACCTAAAAGGATATCTCAAATGACACCTCAAGTGATATCTAAAAAGATCATCTGAAAAGGTATCACAAGGCAAACGCGACCGACTATTCTTGTCATATATAAGTACATGCCCTCTTTTGTTTTACTAAGTGATAACAAGGTCAAACATTATATATCCATAGATGCCATTGGGAAAATTATAGTGAACCCCAATAGGTAATAGGGGGGCGATGAATCCTAGAACATGAATAATTTAATCATGGCCCCCACCTAGGCAATTCTCTCGTATTCTTCTTTTTTAGAGGCGAGGCTGAGAGGCTGAGTGAACCGTATTTGGCCCCACTGCGTAGATTGCATCCACAACCACATATGCAGTGACTAGACTTGGGCAACAGTATATTTTTGCCTAAAATGACTCCAGACATTTGAGGGCATCTAGAAGGGCTTTCGAGAAACAAAAGTAATTGATGGTCGATCAAAGGTTATACGTAGGAAAGTCGTTTTCACTAATTAAGCTTCTTGTTGATAATGTGGTTATAAAATACACCCAACTTATACATAGAACTTATACATAGAAACAAACGGCTAACAGTCTAGGAATTAAAGGGAAAGAAAGGAAAGGATTGGAGAGATAGAACACCGAAACAGACTATCAACAAACACAATACCCATCCTTAATAAGAAAAAGGGTCATCAAACCACTCCAGGGAGACATGGCTATTGAATAGTTGCCACATCAACGAATTATCAGGTGCATAGCTTCCATCACTGGGCGTTTGCAACTGCTGAGGGTATGCTCCAGTGATATCCATATACGGAGAGCCAGCCATCATGAGATTTGCATGCTCATTAGTACTAGACGGATGGTCATGCCAAGTGCCAGTCATTGAAGGGTACAAAGTAGGGACTTTGGCCTGCGGGCCCATGCGCTGCTTGGCTTGGATCAATGGCACGCAGAGATTCTGCAAGTAGTCCAGAAGTTTCAGCAATTTTGAGATGTATGGACTTGCGGCGAATTGAGACAGGCTTTGCGTGATGTCTTGCAGTAGAGTGTAGTCCTCCATATCTAATTCTCCAATGATGTTGCAGAAAAGAACGAAGAATGGACTTAAGGGGTAAAGAAGAACAGTCCTAAGGAAAATGCACATATATTAGTGGGAGCACTGGTGAAACTCGAAGTAGACTAACTAACCATGTTAGGAATGTGGGATAAGGATCCACGAAGCCCGGGGTATCCGCAAGGTTCTTCTGAAGGTGATGCAGTGCCCGGAGGGATTTGCGAGAATACGACACACATTCCTTGTGTGTCAAAGGAGAAAAGGAACATTTTAAGCGTGATCGAAGAATATCAACCAGTATCGCGTAATAACAAAATTCACATGAAATCCAATCCGAGGCGATACATTCTGGTGCGGAGGCTCGACTCTAGAAAGATAGGTTAGCCCGAAGAAAGAAAAGCATCGAGTCAAACCCACAGATTGTATTTTTGAATGTATGGCTTCCATTCGCTCTTGGAGTCTTGAATGATTGGCGATTATTTGGCGAGTGTTATCCGCCATCCCGCAATTCAGTAGCTCTCCTTGAACCTGAGCTAAATCCAACAGAACTCGTATTAATGGGAGATGGGGTAGAGATATGTCGCCACTAATTAGACACGTGGGAGAGATGCGAAGCTCCGGCAGCGACAGTGGTCGATAAAGAAGGGTGCTCAGAGTTCTGTCAAGGTAAAAGCACCAGCATACAGCGCTATGGATCTCTTCATCGAGGCTTGAATTCCCAAGCGGATTGCAGATTTCATGATAGCCCAGAGCGGTAATCAGACGAGCAGCGTATGAGTTGAGAATCCAGCATTGATTCATGTTGCCAAGATACTGCATGAGGAATGCCTGTTCGATGGTTGTCAATAAAAGACTTGCCGTTGAAGGAGGGATGGCGACATACAGCAGATATTAACGACTGGACAAACGGAAGAGTTGGTGCATTCAAAAAATTGAGACTTTTGAGAGCGCGAAAGGCATGCGTTTCATATAATTTCTTGGACTTCAGAAATTGTGCGTTGATGCGGGGATCCTTGTATGCTCTCGGTTTTTGATAGAGATGGAAGATGGCCTTCACATAAACGCATATGCAATACTGATAGAATACCTGCCCATGCTCATAGCCATCATCACTGAGAATGGTTGAAGCCATCTTCTCCAGTGTTTTATCCGAGATGTGGTCCGGCCATTGTACGCAGCTAGCACGTCCCTCGGCAGTTGTTGGCTCTGTGTTGTTATCAGTGCCTGCATTAGGAATGGAGATGGCTTTTTTTCATATACCTGGAAGAAGCATGTAAAGCAGCTCTGGTGATGGGGCAATAAATGGACCAGAATGTTGAAAGTCTTCATGCGACACTTCTAACGGCGAAGATTTATCGGCAATTGAAGTTCTCCTCTGCCAAGTAACATCCACGAATTGCAGGGCAGATTTGAGAATTGCCTTTCGTTCACGGTCCATGTGCTCATTGCCATCGAGCTCTCCTTGTATCACAACTCTGGCCTTCTCTGCATGGTGTGTGGCCGATCCAATGGCACACTCATTCTGAGCAGGTTGGGAAGCAACTTCTATGGGCGAGGCATGATCTAATCTCCTTTTTTTCGATGGTGTATCTGCATTATAGTAATTTGCAACACTTGGTGTAATGATGTTTTCAATGCCCCTAATCGATCAATCAATAGGGGTACGGAAGTAAAGAAGAATGGCAATCATACTCTGAGACTGTTCTTTCCAAAGTTAACAATCTTTCCCCGAGAGCAGACAGTCTATTATTAGATTTAGTAAGCATGTATAATGATAGAGTCATATGAAAACATACGCCGATGTCGATTGCCGGCGAGGTCGTCGAGCTCTTGTACGACTGCACTCAACGCCTGCATCGGTACAATTCGCACAATGTAGTTGCTTATCGCAGCGAACCTATTAGAAATATCAGTTCTTGGCCAGTAAACAGACTCAATGAACTCCTTTAACCTTTCTCGAGTGGCAAAGGTCACACTAGTATCATCAGTATACAAAATCCGAAAGCCATGTGGTGGCACTCACAGCTCGCAACACGTCGTCACTCATTTAGTAGGTATATTCGCGAACACGTCGAATTGGTATCTATGTGTTAGAGCTATAAAGACCCTTCGGCATTTCTAGCGCCAAATATGAAGGAGAAAAAAGTAGTGTAGATTGCTCGGCGCTTGCGGAGGCCGTGTGCGGAGGCCGCGGAGCCCACCATACAGGACCCACCAGTAGCAAGGCAAGGTCCTGTCGGGGGTGGATCTCCGTACATGTTTTTATATTTCTGCTTCTTCCTTTCTCCGCTCCATTTATTCATTTGTTCTACTGGTGAGTTACGGGTATAATCACCCTACACGCGTATACAAGGAGTACTGTTTTAGTTTATACGTGTAAAGAATAGTTGAAGTAATTTAAAACATACGATATGCTTTAGAACACGGGTTTTGCAAAAAAAGAAAATGAGTGGGACGCGCGAAGCCGCTTAGTCAAGGTCTTCAGAGCCTTTTTCCTTTTTCGATCGGCATTCCGACCGAATCAGGAAAGCACGTAGATACCATGTGTGACGACATGATTTTTGGGTATTTACATGGATGTAAAGTTGGGTTTGTTTTCCAAAGAAAAATATCACAGCAAAGATGAAACATGTATCTACCTACCTTGCCCTAAAATTGAGATTATCAAGAAAAGAAAGCCTCGAATAAGATACGAATAATATTTGGTAGCATGGCAGTGGCTGTTGAGTGATCTCGCTGCGTGGATATAACTGATAGAAAGCACACAATAAAAAATATAAACAGTAGGGTATATAGCCAAAGTAGCAAAAGTAGCAAAAACATGACCTGGGTATATCATAGAAATATTCGTAACAAAAATAGAAAGGTTAGGCCGGCAATAAGTACCATGGTAGATATAGATAAGGCCGTGGTACTCAAGTCATATGAATCAGCAAGCAGGAGTGGGAAAGATGTTTCGAGATCGTGTTGGCCGGCAAAAAAGTAATGTCATTTTCCATCATAGATTTGGTCGGGTGTGAGTGAGAATTGGCCTTTCTGGATCTCTCTCGCATCAACATGGTCGGCCTTGACGTATCTCGCGGTCAAAGCGAAGCGCAACTTGTTCTCAGGCACCACGGAATGCTATGTCAGTTAGATCTGATGTTCAATGTTGATAAAGAGGAGAACCGCTACAAACCTCGTAGTACTTCTGGAGATTTTCCCCGTGCATGACAACCAGATCACCATGATGAAGTTCCATCTTGATAGTAACTGGGGCCTCTTTTCCCTTGCGGCCCATCGATAGAGAACGACGAGAGTCATCATACTCATCTTGCGAGATCTCACCAGCAACGAACTCCCCCTTTAGTGTCCGGCGTTCGCCCTCAAACATGCAATCTTTCAGAACAGGATCATCTTGCAGAAGAGTCCCAAGATGCTTGGGCTCAGCCCTTCGGCTAGTACCATTGAAATACTTGTACTTCATTCGGACGAGCATGGTTGCTTTTGCTCCAAGGGACAGTGTGGCGATAGTGGGGCCCAGCGAGGACTCGCCGTCATCGTGGAACTGAGAGAACACAATTTAGTCTAGCTCGTTGTCAATCTCGCCAGTTTAACTTACTCCGATCTTCATTTCCTCGAAATAGCCGAGCGTCAGTAACTCATTTGGGGGCAGGTATTCGTCTCCAGAAGAGACGACTGCCTTTTCAGTTGCCCACGATAAGCGACCCAAAGCCTGGAGCATGTCGTTGGGTGCTTCGTCAAAGCCCTTGGAATCGACGGAGACGACATATTTGTAAGGCATACCCTATTTCATTGGTCAGATGAAATGGACACTCAAATGTTATGGTATTCAAAGTCTCTTCACTTACGTAGTTGACCGCGAAATGTGAGGTCAGTGTACCCGCAACTGTTCTATTGTGAGAAACCATATTTTTGGAGCTTTTATCTGGCTCACTTACCCAGACTGGACTGGAGCCGGAATCGTTTGAGACCAAGATCACCCCGTTGAAGATTGATAAAAAGGTCATCCGGTCCATTCGCGCGGCTATTGATTGCTTTGTTGGACACAAAGTGGGTAATCGAGCCGACTCCGTCGAGTTTGTAAGTCAGCTTCCGGTACGGGAAGAAGGCATTGTCGTCAATCTCTGGAATGTTAAACTTCCTGTCAAAAAGAATTGCTCGCTTGATCGGGGCCAGCTCAAAATGATCGAGGACGACCCGAAGCGAAACGGGGTTCATATTCATGAACTTTTGAAACGGGCAGCTGTTTGCACAATGCTCACCGATAGAGTCATCATCGCATTTCCAACCCTGCCAGAAAGTTCGTCGGATGCATTTGAAACACATAGGACACACGATGCCCTTCCATGCGATACGAGATGTGCTAACATCCGCTGCATTTTCATCCAACGTGGACAGAAGATCAGGAACTAGGCTGTAGTGGGGTTGGATTGCTGGGTCTGGACGACTGCGAAAGCTCAGGAAATCAGGGTTGAAAGAAAGCTCAACGGGAGGGGAAGCATTGCCGATTTTCCAGAAGTCGACGCAGCCAGGTTTAAGGCACATCCAACCTTCCTCGTACAAGCGAACACTTTCGATGGAGCACCTCTCACACTTGAGAGTCTCGGGCTTTGTTTCAAAGTCGCGCTCATCGAGTGGCACCGAAGGGACAGAGTCTTTGGCCGCCCACCAGCTCTTTTCTGCGAGGTTCAATTTCTCAAAGCGGACCTTGACTCCATGTTTCTGGCCAATCTTTTCAAACCAGACATTAGTAACGCGGAACCAGCCCATAATGTTGTACCGATGCGGAAGCTGTCGGTTAAGTATCTTGTTCTTGCTTCCTATAATGATTGTTAGCAGGCTTCTTTTTCATATAACCCTTGATAAATTACCAATAACAAGACCAACAGCAAGGTTTGAGTTTTGGCTGGCAATGATGCTTTGGACGAGTGCATTGTCCGAGTCTTGGTTCTTTTCGAGGGTCAAGTTTCCCCCGGAGTCTTTAGTGCAGCAACCGCCGCTGATAAAGGTTAGTAGAAGCAGGTCGTTATTCTAGACACATGATACTTACATTCTGGTAATGATGATTTCCTCGTCGATATAAGTGCGGGTACCACAGTCGGCATCAATAAGGAAGCCATAGCAGAAACCTTCATTGTGATACATCGCACCTTGAGTACAACGAAACCATGGAATCGCATCGCAAAGCTGTTGGCGGCCCTAGCAGAAGCTTCAGTATATAGATCATGTGTTTTATAAAGAAATAGTAATCGCAAACCTCTGACCAGGCCGGGGGTGCTCCATAAACCGGCTCAAGAGCTTGATCGTTGACAGCAGCTTCCAGCTGATCCGATGAGACTGTCTGATATCAGCATATTACATTGCATAATCAAAGGAAGACAAAGACATTGTTACCTTTTATGGCTTGTTGTTTCTTTGTTTTGGCAATACGGCCTGTTCGCACTGGTCTTTCAACCGCCTGACGACGATTGACAGTAGGGCGTGGTGCCATCTTCCACAATTTGTTGTGCAGTCAAGCTAATTTGGGATGAATTGAGTAAGTATCATATCCAGATATATCCCAGAAGAGGGCAAATTGCCAACAAAATCATGTTTGGTGGTGGAGGTTGATGATCAGACTCACAGTATAGAAAGCCCAATGGCATCATACAAGGTGGATTGGTGTTTAAATTGTGTTCAATATAACGTTTTAGGCACTACTCAGGTCTGAGAAATCATTCAATGATAGAAAGGGATGAAAAGAGCTAACTGCTGGGATGAGTGGGGAGATGGGAGAATGATGAAGCCGGGTGAGGGCCCAAGATATATTTTGCCAGAGCGGCGTCGAGGTCGGGGTGAAGCCGGCAGTAAACTTTGACCTCACATCACAGGATGAGCTAATCTCGAGGGAGTTGATTGCCCATTATAAGCTTCAAACTACAAGCCATATCCCTATGTTAATTTGGCGTGATATGAATACCGAGAAATCCCCGAGGTTGATAGTACAACGAGAGCACGCAACCAACGAGGCCCAGAGGCTTTGCTGATAACAGCTAATTGGGCTTATCCTGGGTAGAAGACAATCCCCGGTTCTCAGTAGCTTTTATATGAACCAGAGGATCGAAATGTAGAGAATGGTGGACTAAATGATCGATCATATATGACATGCAGGTGGTCATGCAGGTGGTTAACAGTGATATGCACACCACAACTTTACTTCGACTACACATTCCACAGCAGTAGAACGTAAAAGAAACCTCGTTATGTTCGTTATTGTACCGGAAGATGGGTTATCGGACTCCGTCATGTTTCAATTCGAATGAACAATCTTCAATGCTGTCACTTCGCCCATGAAGGGATCATACATAGTAGTAGCCCGGTAATTTTGGATATACGTATAAGTAAGGATGATCTTGTCAAGCCGTCATTCCATTCTGCACATAAATAGTTTCAAATAAAAATATGTGTTGGTGTATGTAGTACAAGATATCTCGGCAAAGTCCCAACGGGGTAAGCCGGCCGCGGGGGACGAATGGGGATTTGATGATCTACACGCCAAGGTCACTTTAAATTGGGCATTCGGCTTTTCATTGTAGTTTAGGAGACATATTTTTAATTTCTCGGTATGAGTCCAGGATACCATTCATCACAAACCTCAAACCTGAAGAAATTCCCAGCAAGGCAATTGAGGTTGGGATTAGATTCGTAGAGCATGTCGTAGATGATACCCTCGGATATGTATAGACCGAGGCATGTCCGGTCTTGGCAGCATAAACTCCCCAACTATGAGCTGTTTAGCATAATACTCACCGAGTCCAACAGCACAAATTTAGGCCAGCTACCCAATTTCGGTTAAAAGCAAGCTCCCCCATACCTACCTAGGTACTAGCGGTATAATCTTTGGGGATTCTCGCCACGTTTGCCGATTTCCCCGCACCCGTCACTTTTTCATAAATCTCCCCTCAGCTGTTTATTGCCTTTGTTCTCTAAACCATTATTCCTATTACTGTCATATCTTTAAACTGTGAGTAAATCTTCATTGCACTCACCTGGCTGCAGCTAATAGCATTTTAAATATAGCCGAAACCACTTTACTCCCCTATATTTTGGAGATTTACCCCTAAATTATACCGACGGATCGCTTCGGCTCCGAGAATTTTGGAAAGATGGTGTTTTTGCCTTCAAAGGAGTCAGGTCAACTGGCCCCAATTCCTGACAGTATCCCAATCAGCGAGTTCATGCTCAATGAGAAATATGGACGAGTGCCACACGCCAGTTCCCGAGACCCATACACCTGCGGCCTCACCGGGAAGTCATACTCGTCACAAGAGGTGATCAATCACGTTGACTCGCTGGCTCGTAGTCTTTCAAAAGAACTTGGTTGGGCACCGAATGAAGGGTCGGAATGGGATAAGACAATGGCTGTGTTTGCCGTGAACACTGTAGGTGGAGATCCTGTATCAAGAAGAATAGAAAGGAACTTATTCTTTCGTCTTGTCTTTAGATTGATTCCTTGCCCCTATTCTGGGCCGTGCACAGACTGGGTGGTGTTCTCAGTCCCGCCAATGCATCATACTCCGCCGCCGAGCTGACACATCAGCTGCTTGATTCCAAGGCCAAGGCCCTGGTTACTTGCGTTCCTCTTCTCTCCATCTCACTAGAAGCTGCCGCCAAAGCCGGTCTCCCGAGGAGCAGAATCTACCTACTCGATGTACCCGAGCAGATTCTTGGCGGCGCGAAGCTTCCAACAGAATACAAGTCCGTTTCCAAGCTCATCGAGGCTGGAAAGTCTCTTCCGCCAGTCGATGAATTGCGATGGAGCGCTGGTGAGGGAGCCCGACGAACAGCATTTTTGTGCTACTCGAGTGGAACATCTGGATTGCCGGTGAGCAGTGTCCCAAAAAGGTGAATAACACTTTGGCTAATAGTGCGCTGCAAAACAGAAAGGAGTGAAGATCTCACACCGCAACGTGATCGCCAACACTCTTCAGATCAAGGCATTTGAGCAGGACTATCGGGATGGCGCGGGCACAAAGCCTGCGAATACTGAGGTTGCTCTTGGTCTCCTTCCGCAGAGTCATATCTATGCCCTTGTGGTCATTGGCCATGCTGGCGCATACCGAGGCGACCAAACAATCGTTCTCCCCAAGTTCGAGTTGAAATCATACCTGAACGCCATTCAACACTATAAGATCACCACTCTCTTCCTGGTGAGCATGTCTTTCATGATGAGAAAATGCTGTCGAATGCTGACAGAAACCACTTAGGTACCTCCAATCATTATTCACATGCTGGGAACTCAAGACGTGTGCTCCAAGTATGACCTGAGCTCCGTGCGACTTTTGTTCACGGGAGCGGCACCCCTGGGCATGGAGACAGCAACCGATTTCCTCAAATTCTACCCAGATGTTTTGATCCGCCAGGGATACGGTATGTGGCTGTTCGCGCTTCTCATAGACACACGACTGACATTTTCGCGCATAGGTCTGACTGAGACATCCACGGTCATAAGCTCGACCCACCCCAACGATATCTGGCTAGGTTCATCCGGTGCCTTGCTCCCTGGAGTCGAGGCACGCATTGTGACGCCCGAAAACGAGGAAATCACAGCGTACGACACACCAGGCGAATTGGTGGTCCGAAGCCCGAGTGTCGTCCTGGGCTACCTGAACAACGACAAAGCCACCGAAGAGACGTTCGTGGACGGATGGATGCGTACCGGAGATGAGGCTGTTATTCGTGTAAGCCCGAATGGCTTCGAGCACGTGTTTATTGTGGACCGTATTAAGGAGTTGATCAAGGTCAAGGTTCGTGATGCCACCGGTTGATGGAAAGATTACCAGTTTAACACGTCATTCCTAGGGTCTGCAAGTCGCACCTGCCGAACTCGAAGCCCATATCCTCGCCCACCCCGATGTCTCGGACTGTGCCGTTATCGCGATTCCCGATGATCGTGCAGGAGAAGTCCCCAAGGCCATTGTTGTCAAGTCCTCCACGGCAGGGTCGGACGAATCAGTCTCCCAAGCTCTCTTGAAGTATGTTGAAGAGCACAAGGCTCGTCATAAGTGGTTGAAGGGAGGTATCAGATTTGTGGATGCAATTCCCAAGAGCCCAAGTGGCAAGATTCTTCGCCGATTGATCCGTGATCAAGAGAAGGAGGCACGGAGAAAGGCAGGTAGCAAGATCTAAAAATGTTCGGGATAGCTTTGATTAGAACTTGGTCTTTGGAAATCTTGGAAGAAGCGCCAAGAACAATTGTTGTCAGAAGAGTATATACATCGACCGGTAGATAGTCCAATTTTTCAATATAACAGCTTGGTTTATTGTATTATTTACCACCAATATTAGTCTTGATATGTGTAAGTTTAAGATGAAGACGGATGGACGGATCGATACCACTGATTCATGAAGCCTTTGAGGTTCGATCACCTCGAGGCTTCGGGTATTATTAAAGTAGCCCTGAATGGATAATATGGTATTTCAAAGAGCAAGTAACAAAACTTTCATGCCACTTGGGTATTGCTGTCTCCCTGAGGGGCCGTAGGAGGAGCCGTAGCAAGGACCGTAGCGGTAGCAGGGGCCACTTCAGGAACTCCCTGCGGAGTTGGCTGTTTTCTCAAGATTTGATCAACTGCAGATCCAAGGCCACGGCAAAGCCCAGACCAGGACTTGCGTTTTGAGAAGATTTGGCTCACCTCGGCAAGCAGACGCAAGGAGCTTTCCTTGCCTGTCAGATTGCCGACCCCAACCAAATTGAGCTGAGTATTTGGGCCTTCAGCGATCCAAATCTGAATTTCCCTGGTGTCTAACAAGCGAACCTCCTTGGTTGAAGCTTGCGGCTTTTCGAGTTCAGAAGCGACCACGAGCGTGTCGAATGCCCATATATAGAAGAAAGCAATCAGGAAACAGAGAGGATCATGGCAGGCAAATTTCTGCTTGGCTTTCAATGTGCTGAAAACACATACAGCATGCCACAGACATTTCCTGGCACTAGATGCATTATTTTCCATCCAATATTTCATGTGACTTGTTGACGTATCGACTTCAGCCTCCTCACCTTGCCACCCTGAGAATGACTCAAGCACGTGAAGCGATACTAGCCGGAGAAGGCATAGTACATGATGAATGACATCTCGAGCGGCAATATAGTCGGGTTTAGCTGAGGTAGGAATGGCCACGAATACTTCGTCCATCGACTGAAACATCATTGCGCGCAGGGCTGAAGGGGTTGATATAAGATGGGTCGCTTGCTCCTGAACTGGCACGCCAGTCACTTGGGAACTTAGGCTTGATTTCCAGATGGAAGAATATGACATTTTGTCAAGGAACAATCTCTCCTCGCTGTAAAGAGACAACATGGAGAGATTTCGGCGATAAGCATCCATTCCTGCCATAATTTCACTGGATTTCTTAACATCAAGTTGGGTGGATGGAGTTGGTGGTAGATCTAAAAGTTACGGTTAATCCCAGACAGATCAGATCAACAACAGATAAAATCGGCTCACTTTGATCGGACTGGTACAGATGGACGAAATCGTCAGCATCCCTGCGACACCACAGTGATTGACGACATGGGAACTCCTTGGGGAGTTCATGCTGCCCGAATATTGGCTGACGATCAAATAAAATGAGCTGAAGACATTCGAGTTCTAGTAAAAAATTAGTGATAATTTCATAGGTTGTCGGCGGTGGCACACACGAAAGATGCAGTGAATTAGCCGTATACGAGATTCTCTTGCCAGCCAGGCTCTCCATTGTCTTGGACCTTGTGACTCTTTTGTTTTCATGCATGGATCAACCTTCAAGATACGGGCCAAAGTGGCAAGTACATTTCGCTCATACTGTAGCTTCAACTGGGCTTTATGCGACCCGCCAAACATTAGGCAGACATCACTAAGAAATACGCTTTGCGCATAGGACAAAGTTGTTGATTCGGGTGATTGAGGTTGCTGATTTGATTAATATGAGGTACGGGTTTTCACCAGGAGATGAACTTACGTTTTGGGTTATTGCATGACACAGTATCTCTCCGAAAGATGCTGAAAACTGACTGGCATTGCCGAAAGCGCTATATTGACTCCCAACAGTGACCACTGCTAATAGGACCATCCATGAGGTTTTTTCATGCCTGTATTCTAGAGCATATGGGTGAATCACGGGGTATTCATGATCAAAGTGTTCAAAATACAAGTGCACAAAGTCTTGGATAACCCTCCACCATGGAAATGTCTCATCTTCCGTTTCTCCCATACTCACAAGATACGATTTGAGTGACCCATATATTGAGGAACTCGTCATCACGTTGTAACGGAATTCAGGCAACAAGAAGCGCTCATCTGAACGCCGCATTTTGGGAAGCGACGATTTCAACTGGTGGGTTGGCTTAGAAGATGCGACTGCACTAGGAGCAACAGGGGCAATACGAGCAGAAGGGACAGCAGGGGCACGAGCACGAGCACTCGAAGATGGGACATGCGGATGAGGAGCCCGGGCACCTGTAGTATTAGCAGGTGGTCTTGCTTGCTCATCATTTTCAGAGTTGTCTGATATTTCCATAATGTCATGCGAGACACCATTCTGATCTTGGGTAGTAATGTTTGTAGTAGGTAAGGTTAGGCTTGGATTGGTTTGATTTGCTCCATCTTCATTCGACGAGGAAGGTGATGTACGTATGTTTGATGAGATGGAGCTCGGATCTTGAGTATTCTGCGGAGATAAAGCACTCGTCTGGTCTGACGGCTCTATTTTTATATTTTTTCCTTCATGGTGTTTCCTCATATGAGCCGCGAGTCTATGCCTTTGGTGGGGTATCAGAATTGGAACAATGTATGAATTAGAAGCGTCTGCAACGCAAAGACTATAGCATACCTTCGAGTATACGACTTTGGACAAAAGCGGCATTTAAACTCTTTCGACCCGGAGTGTCCCCGGTCATAGCATTGCTGCGTCAGTGGTGTACCACACTGCTCACATGTAAGGTGGAGTTGCGGGCGAGTATGAGTTAGGATATGGCGTTTCAAATGGTGTTTACGCCCGAATACCTTGTCGCATTGCTCGCATGGGTAAGACTCCTGTAAGGGGTTCATGGCTTCTTCCCACTTTGAAACACCTAGGTAAATGCAAAGAATCAATGCAACCTGCAATTAAACAGTCTACAATCAGAACTGTGGCCATATATCCACAGAAAATCTAGCAAATCAGCAAACACCTACAATGATGCTATTTCGCGTTTCGCACTGACACAAAAGCGGTCACTAAAGCGGTAAGACTTGGAGCATAATCTGCCGCGGGGTGGTGGATTTCTAAGCGGGGAGGTAAGAAAAAAGATCGAGGGCATTTCAAGTTGCCTTAACAACCTGCTTCTTGCTTCGATATTGTTTAGGAACAGGTTATATCAAGAGTGACTGTCCATCAATCACTCTTTTTAATACCATACCTTTCATCTCCCATCTACCCACGGATTGAAAAAAATAAAAAATGTCTTCAAACGACCCCCATCACGAGAATGAAGAGGAGGACTATATGCAGGCCGACGATGCCGAAGAGATCTTTGATCGTGATGAGGATCACCATATGTCGGAGGGAGAAGATGAAGAATATGCCGACGAGAATATGACTATCGAAGATGAGATCACCTTCCAAAACGACTCAGCAGCACACTTCGACTCGCACTCGGACTCTGTATTCTGTGTTGCGCAGCACCCGGTTCACAACAACATTGTCATGACCGGTTCTGGCGATGACACAGCCTACATCTTTGACTCCACTCCCGCGCCGCGTCCTGTGCTCCCATCGAGCTATGAATCAAACCCTCAGCCAAGGGAACGCGAGTCTCTCTTGCCTCTGGCTAAGCTTGAAGGGCACACTGACACTGTGAATGCCGTGGTTTTCACCGAGCCGGCAGGAGAGTATGCCATTACCGCGGGTCTGGATGGCAAGCTGCGAGCTTATCGGGATACCACCCCTCAGAAGACCGGACTCGCATGGGAGTTCTTTGGCGAGGTCCAGGAAGTGGAAGAGATCAATTGGATGGCCGTGTGCCCCTACCAGCAAGGAAACGAAGGAACACAAAATGTTATTGCCATCGGTTCTAATGACGGTAGCGCGTGGGTCTTCCGTATCGACCACACCGATCCCGGCCAGCCTATCTCCATCATCCAGACCTTCTTCTCTCACACCGAATCATGCACTGCAGGCGCATGGACGCCCGATGGAAATCTTCTGGCAACTGTTTCTGAGGACTCCAGTTTCTTTGTTTACGACGTCTTCGGAGCTGCCGCCGCCGCTGGCATCGAGTACTCCCCAGGTACCAATGCTATTCTCGGATTGAATGCGGAGGATCAGCGCTTCGCCGTGGAGGGTGGTCTTTACACCATTGCCATTTCCCCCAGCGGCGGAATTGCTGCAGTGGGTGGTGCTGAGGGCAATATCAGAATTGTCGGTCTTCCCCGAGTCGCAGCAAGTGCCCCCCCAACCAAGGGTAAGGGCAAAAACGCACCCTCCCAATCAGCCGGTTCCACCGCTGCAGGCACTATCATGGCCGCATTGCAAACTCAAACGGACAACATTGAGTCACTCTCGTTCTCTCAGGCTCCGTTCACCCTCCTTGCTGCCGGGTCTGTGGATGGTTCGATTGTGATGTACGATGCGGCTCATCGATTCGCGGTCCGTCGCCACATTAGAGATGCCCACGAAGGAAGTGCTGTTGTCAAGGTTGAGTTCCTGTCTAGCAGCAAGCAACTCGGTGCAACTGTCTCAGGGCCCCTTGCCAATGCTTCCGCAGCCCACCAGAACCGCTCTTGGATGCTCACATCTGTTGGCCTGGATGGTGTGGTCCGACGATGGGATGCACGCGGTGGTACCGCCGCGGCTTCTCAGGGATTGATGCAGGAGTGGAAGGGACACATGGGTGCCACGGAAAATGATGAGGGCGAGCAAGCTGGTGGCATCATGGGCTTCGTACAGGGCTTGGATGGAAAGCGTATTGTCACTGCCGGTGATGATGGTATCTCGCTGGTGTTCGAAGAGTAATCTGCACAAACAAAAGTTGGAGGTCCCAAATGTGCATAGTGGGGGTTCATGTCGATAATGATATTACGTGTTTATAGAAGCTCAAAGCCAAACCAACCTTGATAACCAGCCCATGATATACAATGGCAAAGCCCCGGTAGAGTTGATGATCGAACAATAAAGAAAAATCTGGTTGTAGTAGTGGAACAAAAGCTATGTACATTCGACAAATCAAACCCAAAGCGCCATCTGGAAGCTACGCTCCTTATGAGCCACGAGAAGCTGCATCTCCGCCCTGACACGACAAAAGCTCCCGGACTCGGTAAAGCTTTAGGCGCTATGATCCAAAACCCGGCTGTGGTTCTCGCGGAGGCGAGACGACTCTTTCTTGTCGCCTAGGGTATACGTCCTCCGCTCGATGATCTGTCGGTCGGCGGCATTCTCAATTGGTCTCCAGAGACAACCTTTTAGTGGTGACCATCACCGTGGTGAGCATCGCTGTGGTGGTGGTCGTCCTTCAAGAAGAAGTGCTCGTATGTGCAGTAGGCAGCGAAAGCGACAGACGCGATACCGAAGCCGGGGAAGAGACCTCTGAAGCGCTTGGCTCTGCTGAAGGGGCCGGTGTAGCGCCAGGTCTCACTATAGTATATTAGTGTCTACCACAATTGGCATCACATTGGCATAATTTGACATACTTGCGAGCCCATGGATCCCGCTTGGCCCATACGGAAGATGGGGAGGCCGCGGCCTTGTACTGGGCGAGGTCGAAACCGGTGGGGTTGCGGGCGGGCATTGTGGGAGTTATCCGGTAGTGAATATTACTGAAAAACGGAAATAAAGAGAAACAAGATGTAAAGGGCTGTAACTTGGTCCCTTAGTCCGCAATCAACCGCAAAGTGACACAGTGAGGAGCCGAAGATGAGGAAAAGAGGTGTGCTTGGCAATTACCCACGCTAACCGAATACGGTAGACCAAGTAGCTCTCCCGCCTTCGAGGGACGAAACTGTCACTTCATCCATGCGCATCCTCGAGACAACAAAATGCCACCTCCCGTTGGCAGATATGGGCCATCTGGCTTGAACGCTCCATACAACATACAACAGGCTCACCTTCAATCTCAACACCCCGCACACGCACAGTCTGGAAATACGCTACCTCCCCCTTCGCTTGGTCATCCTGGTTTCGCGGGCAATCCGAATACCAACATCAATCCTTTTACACTATCCGGCGGAATTGCAAATGGCATGGCGGTAGGAGGTTTCCCGGGAGCTGGTGCAGGTGATGGCGGCGGCACCGGTCTCGCTAGTCACGCGGCACAAATGGGATTCGCGCGCGGTGCGCAAATGCAACAGCAGCAACTACACCAGGGTCACGACGGTCGGTTAGCACTCGAAGCAAAGGGTGGTGCAGTGAAGTCAAGGATTCGCGATGTCTGGAAGCACAACCTGGCCCATGAGATGGCGGTGCTGAGGCAGTTGGTCGACAAGTACCCTTATATCAGCATGGTAAGCACCAACTACGGATGCCTCCGTGCAAAATGGAAATCTCCTGTGTTAGATTTACTGACTAGGATCTAGGACACCGAATTCCCTGGTATTGTTGCTCGGCCGATCGGTTCATTTTCGAACAAAGCCGATTACCATTATCAGACCCTCCGGTGCAATGTCGATCTTCTGAAAATGATACAACTAGGCATCACTTTATTCAATGACGAAGGAGAGGTTCCCCCGGCCTCAGGCAATGATGCCAATGGGCAAGCGTATGGTGTGCCCGCTCCCTGCACATGGCAGTTCAACTTCCGATTTTCACTCGAAGGAGACATGTACGCCCAGGAGTCAACAGCAATGCTTGCCAAATCTGGTATCGATTTTGCCATGCACGAAAAGAACGGCATTGATCCTTTCGAGTTCGGTGCTCTTTTGATCAGCTCTGGATTGGTGCTACTAGATGACGTCCACTGGGTCTCTTTCCACTCCGGTTACGACTTTGGCTACTTGATGAAGATCATGCTCTGCTCCCAGCTTCCAGAAAACGAAGAGGAGTTCCACAAGCTTCTTACCATCTTCTTCCCCTCACTTTACGATATCAAGTACCTCATGAAGCACGCCGGTCGCAATCAAGCCGTCAACGGTTCTCCTCTCACACAGGCTGCAGCACAGATTCTGACCAACCTAGGCCAAAAGTCTGGTTTGCAAGACATTGCCGATGAACTCGGCGTCAAACGCGTTGGAATCGCCCAC